TTTCCTAAAAATTGGCCAAACAAAAGATTTGGGTACGATTTATTTGATAAACTAAAGCAATGAAACCGGCTTAAAGTGTAAAATTTCAATACTCACTAATATTTCTGATCAAATACTTTTTGCAATAGCTTAGTATTGTCAAACAATAATTTCTGTTAAAAGTAGAGGAAATAGTGAAGATTGTGTGATGCGGGCAACAGATTTACTTATTTTCATTTAGTCATCTTTATTCTCTCATTCACCCCTTTCTGACCTTTCAGGAAATGAATTAGTAATCTTTCAATGGAAATAACTTCGTTAATAGTTGTCCAAAATGAACGATTTTTATATGGCTTTGTAAGGAATTTCATTTTTCATTTCATTCAGGGGGCTCTGAAACGTATAGATCGCATATTTGACCCGATCGCAATACTTTCCTTACCTAGTATAGGCAGGAAAGTAAAAAGAAGAGATAAAATGATAGAGATTTGATTTCTATGATTTTTATCATGTAGTACAATTACTACTTATTCGTAGATTAAATATATTTAATAAAAAAAAAAAAAAAAACTTAATCGTAGATCAAATACTTTCTCTCTTCATACAGTGTGTTTCAGGGTTTAGTGGTCAAACTGAAAAAAATGAACTAAAGACCTCAAAACAAGAAAAAAAATTCCTCTGAAGATATGTCCGCAAACGCTTTGTTTGGAGATATTTACACCTAAAGACTTTCAATGTTATGAATTCTTTGCGTTATATGGAATAAATAAAACCTATTTATTTGTTGAAACTACTTTATTAATTAAATTGAAACATTAACATTCATAATAAATGTTGTTCAAAGTTATTTCCTTGAGCATTAAGACAGAGTCTGTCTTATTTCTGCATTGTGGCCACTTAACCCTGAAACACCGTGTATATGTACGAGTAGCTAGTAAGAAGTTGGGTGGTTCAAAGAGAGAAATGCAGTTACGAGGTTTTCATTTCTTACCATGAATACAGTAAATAGGGTTTGTGTTATTATGATCGTCTTTAAGACTTTTTGCAATAATGAATATGATCGAAATTCACAAATGTTTTCTTTAAACGTTTGGCTTTCCTTAAACATTATGGCTTCATTAAAAATTTACTTCAAAACTTTTTGTAATAGCTCAATTTTGCCAGACAATAATTTCTGTTTGAAGTAGAGCGTTAAGTCAAAGTTGTGTGATTTCAGCACCAGAATTTATATGTTGTGACTATATTTACATACGTATATCTTTCGCTGTTGTTGCTTATACGCTGAAATCCTTAGGGAAGCTAGAGGGAATATTTATCCAATGTGGGAGTTCTCATTAGAGTTAATTATTATCAGGATAAAAAATACAAAACATTGACCTCTTTCAGCTTTTGAGATCCACTTTATAAATTCTTTAATTAAATATCTCAAAGGCTAGGACTGCGGTAAATTTAAGCTAAATTCCCTCTTCTCTTGTTTAATATGTTTATTAAACGGATCAGGAAACTGGAAAATAATTTAAAGTAGTTAAAGGGATGAAAGGGTTTAGAGGTTTCAAAAGGGCCGCTCGAGATAAGGAATTATCAGATTTGGAAGAAGATCGAGTCTTTCATGTGTATAAATAGGCTTGGATAAAATCATCGGATTAGCATACCAAAATAAGTTTAGCACAATACGCAAAGTTGAAACAATAACCTGGACTCAGCATCAAGAAAACTAGGAATAAAAAGGCTACAAATGATCCCTATAAGAAGATGTTTCGGAAATATTTTTGTAAGAATAAAAAAATAATTGTCTTTCTACCATTTTGTTTCAAAATGGGAGATGGTAATGCCGAGATCCAAAGATCATCCTAGAGCTTAGAGGTCTTGCAATTATGACTTCAATCTTAATAGCATTACAAAAACAACCAACTGATTTACTAATCATGTTACTTGGTATAAATATTTTTCTTTCGATAACATTATAATGACATTTATCTGTAATTTGCAAACAGGAAACCTGCAAGGATTATATATTTAAGTTATAAATATTTAACTAATTAATTCTAGATATTAACTCTTAATAACTATTAGTCGTTCAGGAAATTATATTTACGATATTTTAAAATATTGCTACTAATAGTGTAAAAAGTTGTATGTAATAATTTTTAATGTTTATTCTATTTATGATATACAGGGGTATCCATTCTCTCCAAGCACTAGCGGATCCAGGATTTAATTTTGGAGGGGGGGGGGGGCTTCAGCCCGGAAATTTTTTTTTTCATATATATTACTTTGGAAAAACAGAAAGAACTAAATACCTATATGAAATGGTGTTTAAGTGATTTTTGAAGTCCTATTAAATGTAATTAAACGAGCAATAATACTTTAAGATATAATTTTTTAATATTTTTATTACCCTAAAACATGGTTAAATTTTACCATTTTGGGGGGGGGGGAGCTTCAGCCTGAAAGCCCTCCTCCTGTAAATCCGCCTGTGCCTCCAAGGTCGGTGGCGCAATAACTCCCCTCTCCCTTACAAGAAATTTTATTACTCCCCTCTTCTTAAAAACAGTTCAAGGGAAAGAAGAATTAGAAAAATCGTAGATCATACACCAATATATTCACATTGGTCTGATCCATGTTTTTTCTCCTTGGTTCCGGAACTTTTCAATCCAAAAAATCATATCTTGGTCGAAATTTGTTCCCCTCAAATATTAAAAACTCTGTCAAAATGTGCCCCCCTTAAAATTTTGAATGTGCAACTTGTGCATTGAAACCTCCTTCTGTGCACCCTTGATGATGTAGTTGCCATTTTGTAGTATGTAACTGCAATAAATAGTCTGCTATCATGAAAAATGGAGTAGGGAAATAAAATGTGAAATTATACTAATAAATTATAAAGCAATAATTAGATTTTGTATTCTTTAATGAAAAAACTCAATTTTTACATACGACCGTTTGCAGTAATAGTACCGATATATTTATCGTTTGACTTATTTAAATGTAATATTTATTATACTCTTAAATATGCTATTTCTAAAGGATGTCATGATTTGAAGATATGCTCGAAAGATTTTTTTTTTTTTTTGTTTCTGTAACTGTTTTCTAAAAAAAGTGTATAGAATATGAAAAATGGGGGGAAACAATAGCATATTAATTGGATATATTGGAAGGAATTTTATACCTATTACAGTGTAACATTAGCTTAAAAAATATTATGGAATATTCCAAAACCAACTCGTATGTCTCTCCGATATCGCTAAATATACCAAACAGTGTCATCATTTCACCAAGCAGTACTAGAAAAGATAACTTGCATAAATCCATATAAGATTTGGTGTTACCCCGTTATTTCCGATACAAGGAGAATTCCTATAGGGATGGAGTTCTAGAAGAAGCTCGGAGTAGGAAATACTTCGGTTAGAAGGAGAGTAGTAGTCAGAAGGACCAGATTGAACGGAATATTTAAATTGCAGACTGTGAGGTTCAGAAGGGGATCTGGATTCTGAGGTGACCTGATACAATTAGGACGGTAGGAAATACCGACATCTGTAGGATGGGTGAAGCCACTTGGTGTAATATTAGGTTATGTGTATCCCTAGCAACCTAGAAAATAAATCTAGTCGAACAGAGTTAGCAATGGAGTCTGTATTCAACAACGTTCCTATTCAATATGAATGAATGAAAAAATATTTTATTATTCTGGGACTGTTGTCCCTTTAGAACAAAATATAAATACAGATTGTATGTCTGTGTGGTTACAATTAGATTGTCTATTTACAATAAGAGTTGACTAAAGATAAAAATACTGAAAATAGAAAGAAAAGAACAAGAAAATTGTACATGTATATGAGAAACTAAAATAACCTAAATAAATTGAGGTAGTCTCTTAGATATTTCTCTTAAGTATATTTCGCAATCAGTTGGATTGAGTAGGTGCTTAAAGAGGAGAGGTTTGAAAGAGGAAACTGATTGAGCGTGTCGAATATCAGCAGGGATGGAATTCCAGAGGGAGGTGGCTTGTATTGCAAAGGATTTTCTCAAACGCAGCAGTTCGGTGAGGAGGAGGATAGAGGTTGAAAGTATGAGATCTAGTGGGACGGGGTTGGATGGAGTATTTGAATTGTAAGCTGTGAAAAATATAGGAGGGTCGATGGGTTCTAATGATTTGGTACAGAAAGGTGGCTAGGAAGTACTGACGACGGTAGAATCGGTGGAGCCACCTCAACTCAGTGTGATATTGGGTAATATGCGTATCCCTTGAGATTCCGAAAACAAATCGTAGTGCGCAATTCATTAGGCGTGTAAGTTTGCCCTCGAAAGCTCCAGGTAGTCCACCGTACACCATACAGCCATATAGTAGAAGTGGGAGAAAACAAGGGAGGAAACTAGGAGTTGACGGGACTTATATTGAAAGAGATATCGTAGACGATTGAGCTGTTTTAGGGAGGAGATGGTGCGACGGGAAATTTGGGAGATGTGTGGTTTCCAGGATAGGGTTTGATCAAAAGTAACACCTAGGCTTTTAACGGTGGTGTAGAATAAGATAGGGGAGTTGTTCAGGAAGAGATTGGGAGATACCGGGGAGGATTTGAGGAGTGAGGGGGATCCGATCAAGATGGCTTTTGTCTTCACGGCGTTCAGAGTTAGCCTATTGAGGTTTGCCCAAGCAGTTATTCTGTCAATGTCTTCCTGAAGAGTAGCATCTGAGATATCTGTCGGATTAAAGGAGAAGTAAATTTGAATGAATATGGAGGAAACCAGAGGGGGATGCTAAGAGTTGTCGGGTTAGGTGAATAATGTTGCTCTTTTTTGATTTCCTGATTAGGTGAAGGGTTGACTAGTTTCTTCTTAATTTCTTAAAAATAACTTAATGCTTTCTTTTGGAATCTTGAGTTATGCAGCTGTGAATATATCTAAAAATCGATTTATGTCTCTATTATAAGATAAAGTATAATAAAAAATGATAAAGATACTCCCTGAACGACTATCCATTATTATTATTATATATTATTGTAGATAGTAACCGCTCGACTAACTGGAGCGGGGCAGCGTCAGGACCTACGACGGATGGCTCTAGGTCCGTGAGGATGCCGATGGGGACGGAGCGGCGGTCGTTGACTTGGTGGAAGAAGGAGGAGAACCCCTCGGCGGCCCGATCTGACCCGTGATCCAGGATACCGTCCGGGCTCACCCCGTGCTCCAAGCAGTAGGCCTCCCACAGGGCGTTACCCAGCTGCACTCCCGCCTGGCCCACGTGGACCGACACTACCTCTCTCTGCAACAGGGATGGGCTACAATCATTAAATATGAAAAATAAATATATAAGTTTAATCGATATGAATAAATAATTCATAAAAAAAATAGAATATATCGATTATTTGATCGTGCATAGTGCAGTAATCATTAAATTCGGTGGGAGGTTAATTCAGTGGTACATTTCAACTGAACTCTATCAAAAATCTTGTATCGATCCTCCCACCAAGTTTTTCGGTAATAATCAATTCCAATCCCTTCATCCTAAGGTATATCATGGGAGGAACGGAACCACAGATATTTGATGTAGACATCCACGCCGTTGTTTAAAACATAATACGTTGAACGTTCAATGAAAGTTAAACGGAAGTTCGGTTCATAAAATAAAAAAATAGATAGATAGATAGATAGATAGAAAAAAAAAACTTTATTCTGAGACTAAGTCCCTTTAGAATAACAATATTGTACAAAAGAATAGAATATTACTGGCCTAAAAGCTAGAAACAAAAAATAAAATTGATAAAATAAAATAAAAAGTAAAGAAAACCTTAGGTGCACAAGCTATATACAATACAGACAAAACTATGTACAGAGCATTTAAAACTATGAACGAATCACTTGAACTATGATCAAAACTATATATAAGGGTTGAACAACATGAACATACACTTTGAGAAATGAAGAACGAAAAAGAGATAGAATGAGTTCATTTCATAAAAAAAAAAAACTTTACTTGAATATATAAATAAAAATAAACGTTAATTATAATTGAATAAAAAAAAATGTATGTATTGAAATTCCTACGACGATAGTAGGAAATGCATGTACTATCTCTTACCAAGTGTTATGATTATATGATTGCTACACAATACATATATAGTATTAATAGTTAGCTGGTATCTGACTGTTTTTGGAACAGGAATTGGGATAGGAGGTTTTTGAATGTGTATAGGGAAGGGGCATGTCGAATTTTGATCGGGAGGGAATTCCAAAAGTTGACAGAGCGGGCTATAAAGGAGTTTTGGAACGAGCCAGACCTGTGAGAAGGAATATAAAGGTCGGAAGGTCGAGATCTTGTGGAGAGGGAGTCGACTGAGGACTTGAATTGGAGAAGGTTGTAGGCGTAAGAAGGACGACGATTGTTGATGATATGATAGAGGAATGTACCTAGGAAATATTGTCTTCGAATGGAGGAGAAGAGCCACTCGTAACTCAGTGTAGTGGTGAGGGACATGGTAGTATCTAGGGGCACCAATTACAAATCTCACCCAACTGTTCATTAAGGTTAATTTAAATAAAGTTATTATTATTAATTCATACTAGAAATTTAATACAATATTAATTTACTGAAGAAGCAATGTTTGACCATAGTATAACGTATTATAACATTGAGGAAAGATATGGTCTGGAGTGGCGTTCATAAATAGACTTAAAACAGTGAAAGTGGCTTAAAATATCGTTGCTTTTCACTATTTTAAGTCTTTTCTTATGACCGCAGGCTATCTCTTTCCTTAATATAAACTTGGACATTATAAGAGGGTTTATAAAGAAAAATAAAATACTAATAAGGAGTGGCTATGTACACGGAATTAGTATTAGTGAAGTATTTTCAATGATGAAGAGTCGAAAAATCACCCTAATTTAGATCTCATTTATAAAATTCACATATGTTCAACGTATTTCACGGGGAAGGATATTTTTAGTAAACCAATTCTATTAATGATCTTCATGATTTATTTAAGTAATCCTCAACTTTGATATATTTTAAACATTATTTTTCAATTAACGAATAGATCTGGATTAAAAGTAAAGTAATTGAAATGGCAGAAGGCAGAGACAGGAGAACAGGTCCTTGTATCCTTCGACAACGAAGAAAAACCCGCCTCTTCAGGACATCATTTCTTTTTTCTGCCATCTCGTAAATCCTCCTTCTGTTATTGATGCCCTCCATACGCTGAAGAACAACTTGTCCCTGGTTATTGCAATGTCCTTCTCAGGAGAATCTATTTCTTATTCGATGCTCCAAGAGATTTTATTAACAGAGGCGAAGAGTGATGTCTCCTTCTCCTGTTTTTTTTTCTTTTCTTTTTATGCAATCCGTCTTCTTCGAATGACTGCAAAGAACTTTTTATAACGGATCGATTTTATTTTAAAATAATTCATAAACTGAAGTTAACAGCAGATGTTTTTAGAACTTCATGTTTGAGTTATTTATTTCCAAATTGAACCCTTATCCCCATTGGCAATCATTCAAGAAACTTGAAAAACTATATTGGAAAAAATTTAACTTCAAGGTCTGTTTTGCAACCAAAAACAAAAGCTCGAAGGAATTCGGTTAAAAGAAAATAATGGCTGAGATTCAAGGAGAAAAAATGATTAAAATTGTACTGTTTGTTTAATAATGCAATTATTTTCGGATATATCGTCGATATAAGTGCTAATTATCGAATATGAAAAATTGCGATTTCCAATTTTGTACTTTATCGATTACTTTAGAAACGATGCACACAGTAAATAAGTCGTAGACCCGAATCGCCTTTACAAAGTACACAAACAGCAATTGAAATATCTTGAAAATGTGGTTGGTTTATTGATGTGCTATGGATAAGTATTGGATACGATTTTCACTAATCTGTAATTAAAAATTTTAGCATATTTTTAAAATTAAAATGTGTCACATTCACTACTTTCATCTGTTTGTATATGCACAGAAGATAGTTCTATTCATTTCAAAACATGGAATATGAGCTTTCAGATTGTTTGACGTGTTTTTTTTTTTTAGTTTTATAATGCAATTGCGTAACAAACTCTTGAATCCGGCATATTCTTTAAAGTGCATTGGATATTATTTACTAAGTTGTCTTAAATTATGCAATGAAAATTAGCGAATATACCATATTTAACAGCTTGTATTGCAAAAAGTGAACAATTTGTGTTTCAAAACATTAATACAATGTAAGGATAGTGTATTTAATTAATTATTTAACTTATCTTTATATCTTAATAATTTATAACTTATCACTAATTAAATTAAAATAATTATTATTATAATTATTATATTAAATTTATAACTTATCTTAATAATTAATTTTAATTAAATATTTTAAAAAGCGAATACAAAATCATCAAAGATTCATAAAATCACATATTGATTAGTGTGTAAATCAAAACATCCTCATTCTTTAAGCTGAATTGCTAATGATATTACATAATGACATAACAAGTGTTTTTTTTTTCTTGTTTGTTTCCTGAAATGTAATAATTTACAGATTTGATACTTAATTTCTTAATTTATTATTTTTTAAATAATATTGGTTTTGCTATTACAATTGGAACAGTAAATATAGTTTTTCGCATTGCCTAAAAAATTGTTAACAATCATCAGGGTCCCCATAGGAAATAAACAACTCAATTGAAAAATGAAATGCATGTTACTTCTTTAAATACTTTTATATTTATTCCGGTAAACTTTTCATACTCCTAAGGATAAGATAAGGTTGTAAAAATGCCTGAAAGCAATAACTTAATCCGTAAAAGTGTTGGTTTAGTCGTAACCTGTACTAGCTGTTTACGGTGACCTGAATTATTAAAGTGAGTACGGACCCTTCAGAGTCAGCTTGATGGCTTCGCCACAGCACATATCTATTTCAGGGGTTATTACCTCCCCCCGATGGTTAGGGATATGGCGTGGCAGCTTGAACCGCAAGAGGGAATATTGTATATGGCCAAAACGATGAAGCCAACGACATTTCATTTACAAGCTTCATTGTGTGAGTTTTTCATTTACCGAATCGACAATATTCGCGGTGTCCCTTAAATAGAGTGAAATATTTATAAGAATGAGAGCAGAATTGAAGAGCTACAAAGAAAGTATATATAAACAATATCCCAATTTTCAAGAAAAAGATAATAAATCCAGGTTCTGTGATTTTTTTAAAAGTAAGTCTGATGTATGTATGATGATAACTGAAGTAACATTTAATTTTAATAATTAAAGCTTGCTTCCATGTAAACTAGATCAAGTTTACTTTAAATGAAAGTAATTTTTTTCATGGTTAAAACCTTTCAAAGAGAACTTTTGAGCTGCGAAACTAGGCGAAGTTCTATTTAAAACAAAAATTGCATATTATTCGCGATTTTATCATCATGCAACTATACTACTACTACCCCACTATTACAAAAACTTTACCGTTTGGAAAGCTTCATGTCCATGCTAATCAAGTTAAGGTTTACTGGGCAAAAACTTAAGATTCAACTTAGTTCGTGTAAAAAATGTTGTATAAAGGTTGTGATTTTTTATCCTGTCAACTAAAAGTACCAGTATTTTCAGCAAAAATGACTTATTTTTCTATGGTCTTTTTATTACAAAAAAAAAAGTTAAAAATAAATATTTTTCATGTAAAGTGGTTATGAAACTGTTTTCCTCAGATCTGTGTCATACGAATTGTCTGTATCCGTTTTTATAAATGACAAACATAATGTTCCTAATCCTTATATTTACGCTTTCATGAAAATAATTGAAGCAATCGACAAATTTCTTTATTTTAAATATAAATATTAGGATTAAAAATATTAATTTTGTCACTTATAAATACCCATCAATTCCTACGACAGAGATCTGGGAGAAACAGTTTCATAACCATTTGACATAAAAAATCATTGTTTTTAACATTTTTTTTATCTTAATAAAAAGCTTATTTAGGCAATTATGTTTATTATGATATATTGGTGATCATGGAAAATCTTTGCAATAGTTAATTATAGTAATTTCAACTGAAAACACGGGTGATAACATCAGTGTTCGAAACACGCCCTGATGATGACGCAAGTGTTTAGCTTGAAACGTCAAAACCATAAAAATGGTTGTTTATCACCTATGATATGTAGAACTGTCAACAAACTTCCTTCAATAATTCATTAATATTGATAATCAAAAATGTTGAAATTGTAGCTAGACAACTGAAAAGCTCACATCTTGATGTATAAATATAACCTTAAATAAAAAAAAAATCTGGTGCGCGCAACACACAACTTTCACTTACCGCTCTACTTTGAATAGAAATTATTCTCTGGCAATGCTGGGCTATTATAAACTTTTAAGTGCATTTTAAACGGAACTAAAGCTTAAAGATAACAAGTCATTAAGACCATTATAATTACAAAATGTTTATTTAATATATCGACGGTAGGCAATAAAAATCTAGTCACTCTATCTGCTTTTATAAACTTTCTTTGCTTTTATAAACCACAGAATGACTAACTCCAATTTCAACACTTTTGAGTAATGCCAATTTAGTGATATTTTTTGTTGAAAAAGTTATCTATGCAGACAGTAAGTTGATTCCGGAGTTGGTGATTGTAGTGTTGAAATGTAGAACTGAGAATAAAGGTATAAATTTAGGTACTTATTTCTTATGAAAGATGTTCTTAGGAAAGATACTTTATTAAATATCTGTAGAAAAAAAGGTTTTTATAGTCTCAACAATTAAAAAAGTATATCTTAAGTTTATCCAAATTTTCGCCTCTTCAGGAAAAAAAAGTTAGAGACCATATCTTTCCTCCTAATTTTCCGGTTTTAACGCATTTTTTTTTGTTTTTTTAGGAAATTCCATAAACTTAAAAAAAATCATATACAATATCCACAAAAAAGTGTATACTTTTTGAATTATTCGGAGTTTAATTTTACCATCCCTCGTAACTTTTTTTCCAGCTTCTTTTCGTTGAAGTATGTTATATAGATAAATTGAAAGTATGTCGAGAAAATGTCTTAAGCGAAGTTTCATTGAAATCGGTACATTCGTTTAGGCGCTACAGTCTGTAGCAACGCAGGTTTTCTGGATTTTTATTTTTTTTCTCCTTTATTAACTTATCAAATTCTTTCAAAAGTTATATGTAGCATTTTTTCGTAACTCTGAATTATGTGAAATGATTAACTTTTTAAAATAAACCATATTAAAGGTACTTTAAAGGAAGACATATATGAACAATGTGCATTTAAGCGCTGTAAAGTGGCATCAACGGGGATAAGGTCTAAATGATATTAAAGATCACTTAATTATACAATGATAAACCGAGTTTAATCAAAATCGTTAGAGCCGTTTTTGAGGAAATTGTAAAAATGTGTTTCAGCGTTCATATAAAGTGGCACTTCCGGTTTGACGATTTTAACAAAAAAGTTACTGTCACATCCGGCGCATATACAAACCTTAAACACTTAATATCAGTTTCGTACTACTTTTCGTTTATGAGCTAGACTGTTAACATACACAAACACACAGACCATTTTGCGACACTTGGTTATTTGGTATCAGGGACCGCAAAACATGCATTTCTTTTGAAAACTGAGATTCGAAAATTTTCACGATCGCAATACTTTACATTTACTATATATTACATATATACGTAAGTGAAAGTAAAAATGAAGTTATTCAAGATATTTTAATCTGTTTTCATTCCTAAGTGATTAGAAGAGGTTAGATTGTATCGATAGTAACAAGTAAATGGAATCGATTGATCGTTTATAGGTGGCGTATTTTGGTTTATCAAAGGTCTGATGTTGATATTATCAATAATAACCTATCTTTTGGAGTAATAAGCCAACATCAGAATTTGTCCACTTTTTGTTTGATAAGACATTCCGGATAACAAAGCTTTTCGAGGATGGTATTATGAGTTGGATAGAAATTAGAACACAAAATTGGAATGTTTAGGAAAATGAAGCATATGTACCACCTTAAATTTGAAAGGTATGATTTCAAGGACCTTCGATATGGATCGAACTCATGTGGAGTTTATAAAATACAATATGTAAATTATTTGTATACTCTTAAATTCTTATCAACAGCAAAAAAACTATATTAGAAGGTGATATTTCGACCCAAAATAAAAATATCACTCACCATTATTTACTGTATGGCATATTTCACAAATAAAAATACGAAAACAAATCTTCTAAAACCCTTTGGCACTGCCGTTTTCTTCTTAAAATAAAAATTTCTTCGTTCTAAAAACTGAAATTTTATGGCCGAGATATTTTATCGTAAGGTTCGAAAATTTTAATTTGAACATAAAATGACGCGTAGATTACTACATTAACACATGATACCTTGACGATCAGGCGGTATTTACTGCATTTTTTTTTTTCATTGGAGCTTTTAACTTCACCAAAGTAGTTTGTTCCTCTTTGGTTGAACTCCTTAGGCGAAATCAGGCACCTTTAAGTTTAATTATTCTTTCTAAGAGCCACAATCTATTCAGAAATTCCAAAAAATCTGGATATTACAATGAACGATTAGTAATATTAATCTTTACTTTTGATTGTTATCTGCTTGCTTGTAATTGGAGAAGGGATAATCGATATTAATATCGGTCTAAAGCTATCGATGTTATCAAGATATCGATAATCGATATTTTCTTGGAATTATAAAGATTTTTGAAATATGAATATCAATATCCGTACATATATTATTACAGTAAGGCTCGAAATCGGTTTTGTACCAAATATAAGCTCCTGTCATGCTCAAATACCATGAATGGGGTGCCGTTGGATTCAGAATTTCACGGGGGGTTAGCGAATCGTATTCTCCATTTTTTTTTTTCTTAATAAAATAAATAAAGTCGATACAAACATTTTTCTAGGCTTCGATACTGGAACGGTGGTAGGTCTGTAGATCGATACGGGACAAGTTGGATCTTGAAAATTTTGATGCTTACAGCAAGACCCGGATCATGTGCTTTTAAGCCAAAAAACGTAATACTTTCGAGATAACGCAAGGTATAGGGTTCCCATCCACACAATTCGCATTTGATTTCGTTATCTTTTGATACCTTGCATTATTTTATTTTCTTATTAATCTGGCATTTGATAACAATATGCTGTACGAATTTTTCGCACGGGCCTACTAGTAAACATTGATTCTCCAGCACATAGGCGCATCATAAAAGATTACAATTTTTATCTGTAAACATAATTAATTAAATTATTAATTCTTCTACCCTCGTGAGTAAATTTAATTTTCTAGTTCCCGTCCATCTTCGTAACACTAAGCTTCTTCAAGAAATTTCAATTCAACCAATTATGCCTTCCATTTAACCATAGATTGGATTCAGCGGAAAGGTAATTTATTTACATTCTAAATAGATTTTTTTGACAATTTTTTGGTTTGATGAGGTCCTGACGTACAGATTTGACCAAATCGATTATACCAAATAATATCGACTGACTATTGATGACTATCCCTACTTGTAATGTATTTTTCTTGATTAAACCAACTCCCTAAACTGCAATTTTAACGAATAATGTCTGTTCTAATATGTCATTAATTCATTTTGTAATAAAATTCCCAAAATTTTATTTAATTATAGACCTTGAAGCTCCTTCTAAGAAGGCCGAAACGTGAAATTGTTAACATCCACCTATAACTTCGTGAATAGTTATATCTCATCGTAACTTATAACTTTTATTTATTTATTTACAAAACTTCTCGGAATTTTCATTCTGGTTGTCAAAAAAAGTCTTTGAAGTTTATACTACATATAAATTATGAGTGAAAATTAATATAATTATTGTGAAGCGAACAATATGAAAAAAATTATATATGTCTCTATTTTATAAAAAGGTATTTGGTGGTGACCGTGTAATATTTTAGTTTACATATACAAAGCGGGACGGACCGTAACGAACACTTCTTATTCCCTAAATTATTTTTCCCTCATTATTGTTACAAATTGGCAATTGTTACAAAATGTAAAATATAGTTTTTCAAATAAATTAAATATTAGTCCGAATTCTGGTTTTATTCCGTTTATTTATAATAGTATCGATACTAACCGAGCTCTTCAGAGGCAGATCCATGTTTTGCTTCACACTGCTTCTAGTCTCGGGAATTCACATCCTTTTTTGTTCTGTGTAGTAGTTTATGTATGTATGTATTTTAATTTAAACCTAAAATGAAAAAAAACAAAACAGAAAACTTATATAAAAACATTAATATAAATATATATATTGTCTATCTAATTTTTATAATTGTGTGGAACTATTTGGTAAATAATTTTCTAGGTTTTCGTTTTTCATAAACAATAAAATAAATATATTTATTTATTTAAAAACCAAAACCTATAAAATTATTTAGCAAATATTTCTACACAATTCTAAACATTTATTAGACAGTTAAGATGGACTTTATTATGTTTTTTAATATACATTTTTTTTCATTAGTTAGGTTGAATTCGACACAACAATAAACCTTGATTAATAAATTGTCCTAACATTTTTTTAAGCAATTTTCGAAAATTAAAATCATAACAATCATCGAGAGAATTGTAAAAATTAAACAAAACAAAAATTAACATACAAATCATTTCACAAAAAATAAATGAATAAAACTTCAGCATTGTTTCATTAATTTTGGATTTTTGTTGAAATGATATCGTAGGCACCATTTTGAATTAACGAATGTTTAACTTTAAACAGGTTATGATTTGTTAAATATTTGCAATGTCACTGTTTAACTTTAACATGGTACTAACGATATTTAGAATAAAGATCGAACTTAAAAGAATGAAAAATAGCTATTAAAACATTATTATTTACGAAACGTCTAAAAAACATATTAATTTTAATTTGGAAACTATCAATTGTTTTATCTCTCATTTCGATAGATTAAATTATTTAAAATGGTTTATTAAAATTTAAATTGCTATTCAGGTTGACATTACAAGATGGAGATCGTTAGTAAAAATTAACATAATATTCGTTACATAAACATTTACCTTGGATATGTCTTGAACATGATAGTGTATTTCTTGTTTTTTTACATAACCTCAACTTGATAAATACATTAAAATTTAATTTAATTATAAAATCTAGAAGGTATGAAACAGCTGTTTCTAAAAAAATTAAAATAATAATAATAAAAACAAAATATAACAGATGACAGAAGATATTAAATGAAACAATATTGATGAAGGATGGACATAATTATTTCAACATAGAAATATTTATTACATCTAAGCCCTGCTGGATTTTCGGGAGAAAGACTTAATTATTTTTTTTTAATGCTTCATATTTGTTGAATGATCTAATCCAAATAAATAAACAATAGCAATCAGTTTTTTTTTAAAATTATAATACCTATATTGCTATAAACATAACCATGACTTATCAAAAACATATCTCTAAAAGTTTTATTGTTCGTATAATTACATTTTTGATAAGGCTTCAAGAATTACTTAAACACCATTTCATATATGTTGTTAGTTTTTTTTTTTCCAAGTAATTATTGATATATATAAAATCTTTCGGGCTTGAGCCTCCCAAAATTAATTCCTGGATCAGCTAATATGTCTAGGTGTAAAGTGAATTGATTGTTTTCTTATCAAAATGTTCAATATTCTTAAAAGAATGATTAAAAGAAATCATCAAACATTTAAAATAAAGAACTTAAAACAAACAAATTTGCCAAGTTATTGTGTATAGCATTTCTATACTCATTCATTTTATCTTATGATGTCCATTGATATCTTAAAGTGAAATATTTTGATAGTGTTGAATGTTTTTATCCTCAGAATCAATTCAAACTTCTTATATGAATTTAGAAAAAGCTTTCCACTCTTGGGTAATGATGAAGCAGCGTATGTATGTATAACGGATTGATTATATAATTGTTTTAAATAAGAAAATTATTACTTCCAATATCTTTTGAAAAATAAATCTAAAAGTTTCTGTTACTATATATAAAAATCTGGTGCACGGATCACAGAACTTTCTCTACATCTACTTTGAACAGAAATTATTGTCAGGCAAAACAGGTGTATTTTTAATAGAGCTCAACCTTAAAGAACAGATTTGTGAATTTCGGTCGTATTTATCAATGCAAAGACGCATTAAGGCCATAAAAATAACACAAAACCTATTTATTATAGATAATAGTCATTAAAAACCTCGTATTCCTATCACCCTATTTGAACCATACTACTCCATACTCTGAGCTCTATATACAAAGAGAGATTTGAAAGTACATCTTTTTAATCTGCTATAAGTAAGTTAGTAATTTAAATAGCATAGTCAAAACTGTACAAATATTTAATGAAATACAATCTCCACCACTGTTTATTACTCTTTTTTATCTCTTATTATTTGGACTCAGGGATTTCAAAACGTGTATTTCCTTAGAAAACTCAGATTCGAATTTTTTCACGATCGCACTACTTTCCCTTACTATTCATTACATAATAGATAAGTTAAAGTAAAAATATACAATATACATGTATTTGAAATAGATAAATAAAAAAAGGAAAAGTATACTTATCTCTTTATACAATGAAGTAACATTACTGTGGTAATAAATTCAATTAACATTTTAATAATTTAAATCTTAATTATAATGCAATATAACTTTTTTATGGTTTCGAGTTACTGACTTGAGTTCTAATAAATAAGAAAAGAAATAAAAAAATTAAGAAACTGCTTGGTTTATTTAATTTTACATGTGATACTGATGTCGAAAGCTACCTAAATCATAGTAATTTTTGAAACTAACAGTTTAAAATTAATTAAAATACAATTATATCAAATTACATGATTATTTTACACAACTAATAATGAATCTCAACTTATTTGGAACCAAATCTCAACATTAATAATATGGACTTGAGGCGTAATAAACAAAGAAATTTTTAAAATAGTGTTGTAAATGTAGTTCAATTGGAGGATAACATAAACAAAACTATTGAATATCCATGATTTAATGAACAGAACTTAGGATAGTTTTTGCCTTCGAAATGTCTTCATTAAATGGTTATAATAAAGATAAACTCTGCTTTACTATGAAGAAATCGTTAATTGCTTAAATTAAATATTATAATAATTATTTTCTAACGTTTTGACCTAAGTTGTAGGTGTTCATTAGGGCGTTACATTCAGAAGCAGTCAGAAGACTGCTTAATATTGTTGTAGTTATTGCTTCTTGTTTAACAAAAACAAAATATTTCCATCTTCAGATTGAAAACGCCCCATTCCCCAGAATTTCCGTTATAAAAAAAATCTAGATTACGAGAAGATGAGAGAAAAACCTTTTTAACCATTTTAAAGCTTTTTGAGCCATTTTATTTAAATAGAAATCAAAAAGAAATTAATATTTAATCATTACACTTAACAAAAAGCTACCCAGTTTTCATTACTTTTTCTTCTCACCATGCTTTATTATTTATTGTTATTTTGCTTTTATTTATTTTATATTTTTTGTACATATAGTGTGAATGTTATCCTACCTCACTATATTTAACGTCCAAGTGACAGATTGTTGTGATGCTCAATAAATAAATCTCTAAAGTTAACCCCAATCAAACTTTTATTTTGTTCAAAAACGAGCCATGGATTTTAATTCTTTCCAAAAGGAACCATATTCAAGTTTCAATGTTTTAAAAATACTATTAAAATAATCATTGGTTTTCAAAACTATGTGCTACAAATTTTTTAATTTTTTTTTTTTTTTTTTAATTTGGTTTTGACACTACAATTGGAAAATAAAATATAGTTTATCGCGTTTCCTAAAAATATGTCTATGTTCACTTATAAATAAACGACTCATATATATTGTAATGTTTTTTATTAAAAAAGAAAATATATAATAAATAATTATTGGGTTATCAGGTACGGTTCAATAGCTTTATTTAAGTCCTCAGTTCAGAAGTCCAATATCCAACTAGAAGTAAACACTTAACCCTTGGGGATTTTTAAAATTCACCTTTTCAAATTGAAGTATTAGTCTTGTTTCGTTTAGTTTTCTTGGATCTAGAACAAACGAAAACCCTAATTAGAGAAACTTATTCTCTTACAGTGGATAAATAGTCTTTGAAAATAATTTTAATTAAATATCGTAGGTATTTAGAGTAGGGGTTTGAAGCATTATAACGCCTGAATATATTTCGTTTTTTTTAAATGTCGAAAATACTTTTTCACACAGATTTGGGTAAACTGATAAGTTTTTTCAGTTAAGGCAATGAATTTTTGAAATTGTGCGACAACGAATGTACATTTTTTTTAATGGTGTAATTATATTGGAAACAGAAACTAAAAAAACAATTTTATTGTAGTATAGTGTTTTTTTGTTTGTTTTTTTAACCTGATATAGCTGAAACAAACTAAATATTAATCGAACGCTGATAACTCTTCGACGCGTTTAAACAAAAGACGGTCTTTTATGGTAGAACTTTATTACACTATTAACAACTGCTAATAATAATAATATAGGCTTAGAGAACCCGAAGGTTCGGTGCCGACAACAACAATCGTTCACGCCCATTTTATTCGCGACATGTTATTACTCAATTATATTAACCAGATACAGTTCAAGCATTTCGGTTTTGTGTAACTCATCCTTCTTCTGTATGAATATTCTACGCAATACTTTATTTTCCAAAACATTTAGGCGTTGCTCATCTCTTAAGGTAAGTGGCCACATTTTGCGCCCGTAAAGAACCGTATGTAGGATAATGGTTTTGTAAATTCTAGTTTTTAAGTTTCGAGACAGGAGGCTTAAGTAGTTTTGTCAAAGAAAAATAACGGGCATTTCCTTCAGCCTACCTTTAATCTCCTCTTCAATTTCGTTTTTTTCTAGTTTTCGTAGATCCTAGATACTTAAACTTCTCTACGTGTTTAATGCAGTTCTAAATTGGATAGAACATATTTACTCGTTTTTTTGCAATTTGGAAAGCTTTTGGAATTTGCCATTAAAATATTTGGAGGATTTGCAGAAAGATATGAATGCGGTCAGAACTGTTTTTACTTTCGAAAACTAACTCCAATTGGTTATTCCTTCCTGCAGAGGGAGTTGCCATCCGTTATGTAAATTGTCTCAGAGAGCCCTTTGCTTTTGCCACTGTTTTATTCCGAATGAATTATTATTCGAGTTGTCAACGAGGCGTTTATATTTCAACATCTGTTTGAATTATTTTTTAATGTATTCCACCGTCCATCAACATGGCCACTTTTCGATGTAACAGTTATTACGATAAAGTAAAGGGTTGTGTTGGGATATGAATTTTTTAATTGTAGCCTTACTTTTACACAGTGAAACATGGACGTTTCGGATATCTTCAAACGCAGGAGCTGATTAAGTGTTTAGAGATTCAGGGAATTACAGGCCCAAAACAAAGTGCCTTTATTTTTAGGTGTATTTTATTTTTTCTCTTTTACTAAATTATATGTACGTACAGGGTGTCCCGTAAATAGAGGTAAATATTCAAAAGGTTAATAGTAGACTTTAAGATCTTCAACAAGTTAATATAACCAATTCATCTCAAATGTAAAGAAATGATGTGATTTCTTATTCAGTCATCTTAAAGTACTCATGTTATTCTGAAAATATGACTTCAATTAACTGTTGCAAAGCTTTTATTTCTTGTTTATCCGGGATGTATTGTAATTAACATAATTGCCTAAAAAGACATTTTATTTATAAATATAAATATTAAAAAATAATGAGTTTTTTAAATATTTTTCACTTAAAGTGGCTCTATTTTTTATTCCAGATATCCTCCATGAGAATTTATATTTATATATCAGTGACAAACTTTCTTACTAAAATATACGTTTAAAATAAAGAAACCTAGTGATTGCTTCAATTATTTTCATGAAAACGTAAATATTAGGTCTAGAAATATTAAATATTTAATAGTTGACCGTTGCATTATAAAGGAAGGAGATAGTCCGGGGTGGCGGTCATAAATAGGCTGAATAGTAGTAAAACTATTTTTATTAAAAGCCGACGTTTCGACCCGACTTTGCTGGTCTTCTTCAGGGAGGTGTGTTCAGCTAGGAGTTTCACTTAGAACCAACTAGCTGAGCACACCTCCCTAAAGAAGACCTGCAAAGTCGGGTCGAAACGTCGGCTTTCAATAAAAATAGTTTTACCACTATTTAGCCTATTTATGATCGCCACCCTGGGCCATCTCCTTCCTCTAA